TACAGTCTTCTAGCTTTCCAGATTCTCGAGCTAGCAACTTACTAGAGAAGAAATTTGGTGAGCCCACGCGTAGGTACCACGCGTACCAGAAAGTTCGTTAGTACCTACTTGAAGGGGAATATCCCCTTAAAATTTCAGCCAAGTTAACAGATTACCCGAAAAAAATTTTGGCCGGCCCGTACCACGCGGGTAAGAGCGCCTATTTCGGAGATGCTGCCCCGTGTATGCATGTACATTAAGTTACCCAAGTTTCATCCCCATAGCTTTTGTGGGTCTCAATAAGAAATCGGCACAGACACCTAGCGCACACACAGACAGAGACACACACAAACACACACACAGACATACACACACAGACAACCTTTCGTCAATGTGCGTTTTCTGCGTTGCATAGCTGCGAAATATGCACCAAAGTTCATAAATTCTTGTTTTTTTTTTTTATGTTGCGTTTATCGACAATAACAATAAGACAGTAACAATAACACTGTTCGGGTGCCCAATATGCAGGCTCTCATCTTTTGGGTACTAAACTAAATGGAACAGAGAAGTTCCTCAGACAACAACTGCAGATTCATAGCACTAAAGCAGTATGCTGTATAATAATTTTACAAAAGCATGACGTCACATAGTGTTTAGAACAGGGCACAACTGTCCCATCCTCGCCAACGGGTAACGCGGCAAATTTAAATCCAGCCTTCCTGTACCCGCGGGTAACAAGCACAGCCCCGTAAAAGTTTTTCGGGTAAAATAAGTATCTCGGGGACCACGGAAGCTAGGAAGCTGAAATTATATGATATGTCCTCTGCCCACGTGTGATTCAAACTTAAAAACTCAATCTTCCTGTGCCTGCGGATAACAATTACGGACTTGCAAAAGTTTTAGCCGGTATAATCATTATCTCAGAAACCGCCGAGGCAAGGGAGCTGATATACCCCTTGACCACGTGCAACCCAGAAAATTTAAATTCAGCTTTCCCGCGCACTTGGGTATCGCGTACTGCCCCGTGAATATTTTGCCGGGAAACTATCTCGGGAACCATGAAAGCTAGAAAGCTGAAATTTCAGGACGATATTTTCTGCCGCTGCAGGTATCTCACAAATTCAAATTTAACCCCGAAGTATGCAGAGCTCTTACGTAAGACAGCGTGAGAATTATGGTGTGAAAGTCGCTAGCTCGGAAGCCGAAAAACTACAAGGTTGAAATTTGGAAGGATGTTCCCCATCCGTGTTTTCAAATTCAGATTTCGCGTACGGTGAGTGAAATTTTCAGTGGGAAATTCCTAACCTTTGGAGCCAGACAGCATATTTATTGTTTTTCCATAAAAGAACGTTTAAAACACCTATATTTTTAATAAGCAAACGCCCGCCAGACGGAACTGCGCAAGAAGCATGATCGCACCGTATACCCTGGTGTTTTTCGCTATTTATCTTCTTTAGGTCCTGAAATAGCTCGAAAGCAACACAATCTTCAACGACAAGCAAAAACAACGCCACCTCGAGCTACTGCTTTCAGTTTTCGGAGAAATGAAAGCTATCGAAGTAACAGCAATTCTTATGGTGCCTGCTCTCGTACTCGGAATTTTCGGCAACATGAACTTGCTTTTTGCGACATTTAGGTTGAAACAGTTACAAAATCGCAACGGAATTCTGATTGCGTTAATTGCTTTCTTCGATTTTGTAAGTCGTTTTGTTTCGAATCGAAATAAAATGTGACAAAGTTCTCTCTGACGGTTCAAACAATTTAAATGGATGATTCCACAGGAGGATCTGAATAGTACTAAAATGATGTAATACTGAGTTCGCAAATAAATGATTGGTCCTCTATTTTTGAACCTAGTATATATGCGAGGACGAACATAAAAAGAAGCAACCTGCGTTTCATCCCTTAGCTGTAAAGCAAAAAAAAAAAAATAAAATTGGTGGCTGCGTGAGTAATTGGTCCCTCACGGTGACTGTAACATCAAATACTTCT